ACAAACAAACAAACGAACAAACGAACACACGACCTGACCATAAATAATTTATTTATAGAGACACCAGCCATCAATGTCCATGTCTTTTTCTTATCCACAAACAAACAAGCAAACAAACGAACAAACAAACAACCTGGCCATCAATAATTTATTTATGGAGGCACCAGCCATCCATGTCCATGTACATTGTACTGTCGTATCCAGAATCAATCAAACAAACAACCTGGCCATCAATAATTTATCTATAAAGTCACCAGCCATCCACGTCCATGTACATTGTACTGTCGTATCCAGAATCAATCAAACAAACAAACAAGCAAACAAATACACCACTTGGCCATCGATATTTTATTTATAGAGGCAACAGCCATCCATGCCCAAATTATGCTGTTTTATCATTAATCAAACAAACAAGCAAATACATCACTTGGCCATCGATATTTTATTTATAGAGGCAACAGCCATCCATGCCCAAAGTATGCTGTTTTATCTATAATCAAACAAACAAGCAAATAAACAAGCAAGCAAAAGACTCACCGTACGCCCGAGGCGGGCAAAGTCCTGTCCGAAGACGTTCCTGGCCCCGCCCCCTAGCGGGTTCTCGTGTCCGAGTCCTGGCCACCGGTAGTTGACCTTACACGGGTGTTGGACGTTGTTTCCGTTGGGCAGTTGTTCTTGGTAACTCAGGTAGGCCCAGCTGGGCTCCCATAGCACCGCGCTGACACACAGACTGGATAACATGGAAACAGGATTTTTGAGTTTGAGTTTGAATTTCAGTTTGAGCTTGTTAGTTTGAGCTGTGATTTTGAATTTCAGTTTGATTTTGTTAGTTTGAGTTGAGAGTTTGAATTTTTTAACTTTGAGTTTGAGTGTGAGTTTGAATCTGAGTTTGAGTTTGAGTTTGAATTTGAGTTTGAGTTTGAGTTGTGAGTTTGAATTTGTGAGTCTGAGTTTGAGTTCGTGAGTTTGAGTTTGAATTTGAGTTTGAGTTTGAGTTTGAGTTTGAGTTTGAGTTTGAGTTTGAGTTTGAGTTTGAGTTTGAATTTGTGAGTTTAAATTTGTGAGTTTGAGTTTGAGTTTGAATTTGTGAGTTTGAATTTGAGTAAAGAGAAGCACGTCGATGCAATAACGGTCACTGAGTGCTAGGAAGAAGCAAGGTAGAGAGACAGAAACAAAAGAGGAAAAGAAAAGAAGTAGAGGCGCCCTCCAACCACCAACAACAGAACTTTGGTTACTTTTAAAATCATACTTGCTCGTAAAATATCATACACAAGCGTAAGGGGAGTGTTGAAACAGGGCAAACGCACCAACCTATTCTTTGATTATCACATAATATTATGACCCTGTCACTTTTTTTAGAAATAGATGCATTTGAATCGACTTTGGTATGGTAAGATTTTATGATTTTCTGTTTTGTTGTTGTTGTTGTTGTTGTTGTTGTTGTTGTTGTTGTTGTTGTTGTTGTTGTTGCTGATACTGCTGCTGCTGTTGTTGTTATTGTTGTTGTTGTTGTTGTTGTTGTTGCTGTTGTAGTTGTTGTTGTTGTTTATAGTGAAAACCACGCTTATTTCAGTCCAATGGAATATCCCCTGTATACGAAATGTGAAAACCTACGAAGATGATTTGAATATATTCTTTCCCTCGTCCATAAAAGACCATTCAATATTCGTCGTGGGCGCTCAACTCTTTTCATTATTATAACAATACCTGCATTTATATAGCGCATACTCATGCTCTACAGAATTCCCTTTGCGTGTTGTAACTACTATTACCCCTAGAAGACCCAAGAACACGACTCAAAAACATTCTCGGTTTCCCGGGAAGCATGCAGTGCTATACGTCTAGATACAGTGCAAGCTACGGATTACACAATCGAATTGACAAGATTCTTTTGTTGTCTATGACCGGGTGCTCATTATCACCTGAGTGAAATGAGAATAATTCGTGTGAAGTGCCTTTCTCGAGGACACAGTGCCAGACCCTTAACGAGATTCGAACCTACGACCTTACAATTGAGAGTCTAAGAGTCTGAGAGTCTAACCACTAGAAACAAACAGGACAAA